GATCGACCTGCGAGTACAACGGCGGTGAGCTACCCAGCGGTGTGTGGCCGGAAAACCCCTCCGACGATCAAATTAGACACACACACAGGGATAGAGAGAGAAAGAGGACTGAGTTGTGTTTAGTGTTTATCTCACCAAAAATGTCATCTGTCCAGGCATGGGGGCGCAGACTCGCTTATATACCTTCTGCGCCCCAAATCTACTCCCATTAGTCTCTCGACACGTGGTGCTGCTATCCCATCTGTTAGCACAAATCCAGCAATCACCACCTAACCAAACTGTTAGGATACCTCGGCGGAACTCGATAGACTGGCAGAACCTCCTCAGTTTCTCCTGACCACGCTGCGCGGCATACCTTAATGAACCATTCGCTGAGCTCCTGTACAACCGAACTCGGCTGCATTCCGGCAAGCCGAGCTCGAGGTAGGTCGAGCCGGTTAGCCGTCGATCTTCCTGCGGAGCTAACGCATGAACCGTGGAACCCATGGAGACATGCAGACATCTCGGCCGAACTCCCAGTAGACCGGCTTTTGCAGCAACAAACCAAGCAGCTCGGTCTCATAAGCCCTGTGCCTTAACCAAGCAAAACCCTTCAGGACAGGCCCAAGCTACCACGGCCCAATTGTGTTCGGCCTACAACTTGCACGGCCATTACCATGGCCCACAATTTGCCCGGCCAATACCACGGACAATTTTGATTTTGTTGCTCCCATTCCACTGTTGTACCGCCTGAAATTCAAAGTCAACACTGCCAATTCACGAACTTGGACTTTCTCATTCTGACGAGCTATTGTGAAAAATGAGAGGGAGATTTATGAGCTGAATACTCTAATTAGATTGGTAAATAGGAACGCACCGAACTGTAACTTGAGGTCTCCACTTCAAAGCCTAACCGAGCTGAATACTCCATTAGATCTACAAATAGGAATGAACCGAGAACGGATGGAGGCTCTCGCCAATTGTACGGGGGCGAAATATCCTCTGCTTTCCGTACTCCTTGGACGTCAAGCTTCTTGTGACAGCATCTATCTTTGCAACACAGAAATGGTGAGCTGCCCGGCGGTGGTGTGCCGGATAGACCCTCCGACGATCAAGTCAGACCAATGGAGGAAGAAGAAGGCTATCTAGCACACCACCGCCGGGCAGCTCACCATTTGGTCGGTCATCGTTTCAGCAGTCTTGTCGTGGATCGCACTACCGTACTGACAGCCGCGCTCTTAGTGCCACGTGGCTTCGCACCAGTGGTCCGCGCCAAGGAGTATGGAAAGTAGAGGATATTTCGCCCCCGTACAATTGGCATGCCGGAGTGGCTGGGCCCTTGGATTTGCCGGTCTGTGGTTGCTCGATCTGGTCCCCGAGCTCGGTGGAGACGTGATCGGTAGAGTCTTCATCTGCCAAACGCGGCCCGGTTTGCTCCTTCCTTGGCCGCTTTTTGGACCGACCAGCCGATTGCTCGCTGGCAAGTGCCAGTACTGCCCCTTCTTGTTGCCCGGCGAGTATGGAGGATGTCCCCCCGGTTACGGCGGGGAGTGGTGTACTCTCAATCTCTGGAGACAGCGGCGTGGCTGTAAGTCGCGCCAGCTCTTTATCCACCAGCGCAGGGGCTATCGCTTTGGAGGCTGGCATCGTCACTTCCTCACTACAACGAACTGGAGCGCTCAACCTCTGCAATGCCGGCACTCTCTGAGCCTCCCGACAGCGCGCCCTGAAGCTGGAAGACAAAGACTTGGCTCCCGCAACGTCCCCCTTGGTTGGTTTCAACTCTCAACCAGAGTGGCCGATCAGAAAGATAATTTTGCCTGTCAGAGCGGGTTCTGTAGTAAAGCAGGTGGAATTCTGGGTGCTGAAAGTTTCATCCACATACAACCTAATTTTGGGCAGGGGGTGGTTGCACGCCATGCAAGCAGTTGCGTCTACCTTTCATCAAGTTATGCGCTTTCCGGCGCCCACCGAGTAAATCGAAGAAGTTTGGGGAGACCAGGTGATGGCAAAACAATGCTTCGTTGCAGTAAATGGCAGCCGAGCAGCCAAAGGGTTCGTCCAGATGATTGAGGGGCCCGAGGGAAAGGAGGTCCTTGAAGACGTAGGAAGGAAGGCCGAGGAAAAATCGGTAGAGGATTTGGTTGAAGTGCGCATCGACGAGAACAACCCGACTAAGTTCTTCCTCTTGGGATCATCTTTGTCGAGCGCCGAGCGGTTAGATTACGTCAAATTCTTGACTTCTAATTTGGAGGCCTTTGTCGACCATGATGATCGGCCGGAATTGGGACTGGAATTGACCGGGCTATGCCTAGCTCGGTGGAAATTGTTAGGTCCAATTAGAGTGCGAGAGGAGAAACCCGCCAATGGTGTGCGTCAATACCGTTTAGTAGTTTGGCCATTGTTGTTTGGCGGTATTGACACGTATACGTGTAAGGAATAGAGAGGGCAGTATAACCGCTCGTCCAGATGAGGACAACAGAAGTAGTGTGTGCAGAACCCCTGAGGTTGATGGCCAGCCTAGAAAAAGGAGGAATGGAGGACGTTGGAGGTAAGCAACCTGAACAACCCTCTCTCTCTCTCTCTAAAAAGTGCTCTCTTCTTCTTCAAGTGGTCTAACTTGATCGTCAGAGGGACTATCCGGCAACACCCCGCCGGGCAGCTCACCGTTTCTCTGTTTCCAGGTCAGACGTCGTTACGTGAAGCTTGAGTTTAAGGAGTACGGAGAACGGAGGATATTTCGTCCTCGTACAATTGGCGTCGTCTGTGGGAAGACTTGATACACAAACCTTGCTCTTTAAGTTTTTTCGATCGTTTCCATGGCTAACAACAATGAAACTCCACTGTCCGTCGTCGATGGTGTTACGCCAGACTCTGTTCAACGGAGAGAAGGCCCCCCTGCTATTCTAGCCATGGCGGGCCTAGAGACCTCTTTGAGAGGTGCGCGAGACAAACGCGCAAGGAGTACTGATCGCTCGAAGAGTCCGAAGGTCCGTCGACGGCGGGTGAAGTCGCATGCACAGCACTTGGAGCACAAACTCGAAGACCAGGACGTCCTTATTCGCCGCCAAGATGGCGGCTGAAATCGAGGTGCTGAAATGCCAGATCAGGGGGAAACGTGTTGCTGGAGAGGGCAGCCTCAGTGAGCGCACCCCGTCTCCTTGCTCTGGCAGTCGCCGCCAAGAAAGGACGCACTCTCTCTCTATCACCAGAAGCTATGGGGTCGGGGACTCCGACCCACAGGTGGGCAAATCTCACACTCACGACAGCACTTGCTGTCCCTCACGTCCATCGTCGACATCGCGATACTCCTTTTTCGCCCGTTTGGGAGACCTGAGGGATGTGTTGGAGGAGAGGGCTCGCCGTAGGGAGACTCAGAGATTGCCGGCATTGCAGAGGCTAAGCTCCCAAATCCGTTGTAGTGAGGAAATGGCAATGCTGGCACCTAGAGTAGTGGCCTCAGCGCTTGTGGACAAAGAGTTGGCGAGACTTACAACTATACTGCTGTCTCTAGAAATCGAGAGTACACCACTCCCTGCCGGATTCTACCAGCCTAAGTTCACGTTGTACGACGGCAAGACGGATCCGTACATGCACGTGAGTCATTACTGGCAAGTAATGGCTGGACATCGGCGCAATGACGCCTTGATGTGCCTCATATTCCCAGCAAGCTTGGGAGAGCTGGGTTTGAACTGGTTCAAAAGGCTCCCAAATGGGAGTATTGAGGGGTGACAGCAACTAGCGGAAGCCTTCGTCACCAGATTCAAAACCAACACACGAACGCCGAAGGAGATCGACCATCTCCTGGGCGTTAAGATGGAGTCTGGATGTTCATTGAAGGCATACAATGCGAAATACTGGGAAACTTACAATGAGATCCTCGACTGCTCCACCAATCTGGCAATCACTCAATACAAACGGGGTCTCCCAGTCGGACATAGGCTGCGAGATTCACTCACGATGCATCAACCCACAACCATGGAGTCATTGATGCAGCGGGTCAATGAGCACATTCGCGTGGAGGATGATGCCGCCTCCGCGACCGAGAAGGCTAATCCGGTCGCGGGGGACAGAAGGGTGGCGGGGAAAGTTCACTCGGTTGGGCAGGAGGATAACCGCCCAAACAACCGGTCAAAAGATCAACGCCATGGTTCAAACCGTGATGACAGAAACAAGGGCCGCCGAAATAACCGGGCTGACACTCCCCGTGATGCAGCGAAGGATGCCAAAAGAAAATTGAAGGCACGGACTGGAATCACCACGGTCTTTAAAATCCCCATTTATCGCATTTTGGGCGAGATTCGAGGTGAACCCTTCGTCCGTTGGCCGGCCAAGTTGGGGAGTGCGCAGAGGGGCTTCAATTCAAAATATCGCTGCACCTTCCATGAAGAACGGGGCCACCGAACGGAGGACTGCTTGCCGCTCAAACAACACTTGGATGAGTTGGTGGCGGCTGACATCTTGACCAATACATAGACGGGGAAATGAAGGCCGCACCATCAGGGCAAGCCGAGCCAAACGGCCTAGCCACCCTGGATGCGGCCTCGCAAGGTGTAATCAACGTTATCCATGGTATCATTGAACCAACCAGGGTCTGCAAGCTGAGAGGGATGACCAAGAAGGCCGAGCATATGAGGGAAGTGCTCTCTGTTCAGCCCACTGTGAAGAGGGGGAAAATCGAGCCAAAATACGTCATTACCTTTACAAGCAAGGATTTAGAAAGGATCCAGGTGCCCCACAATGATGCCTTAGTGGTAACTCTTCGCGTCAAAGGCTTTGACATTAAAAGAATCTTGATCGACCAAGGGAGTTCGGTCGAAATTATGTATTATGATGCTTTTAAGCAAATGAAGCTGGAGGACAAAGACTTGGCTCCCGCGATGTCCCCCTTGGTTGGTTTCAACTCTCAACCAGAGTGACCAATCGGAAAGATCATTTTGCCGGTCAGAGCGGGTTCTGTAGTAAAGCATGTGGAATTTTGGGTGCTAAAAGTTTCATCCACATACAACTTAATTTTGGGCATGGGGTGGTTGCACGCCATGCAAGCAGTTGCGTCTACCTTCCATCAAGTTATGCGCTTTCCGGCACCCACCGGGCAAATTGAAGAGGTTTGGGGAGACCAGGTGATGGCAAAACAATGTTTCATTGCGGTAAATGGCAGCCGAGCAGCCAAAGGGTTTGTCCAGATGATTGAGGGGCCCAAGGGGAAGGAGGTCCTTGAAGACGTAGGAAGGAAGGCCGAGGAAAAATCGGTAGAGGATTTGGTTGAAGTGCGCATCGACGAGGACGACCCGACTAAGTTCTTCCTCTTGGGATCATCTTTGTCAAGCGCCGAGCGGTTAGATTACGTCAAATTCTTGACTTCTAATTTGGAGGCCTTTGCGTGGACACCTTACGATATGCCTGGCGTTGACCCAAGCTTCATTTGCCATCAGTTGAATGTCTACCCTGATGCACGGCCCGTCATCCAAAGGACACGCCGCTCTGCCTTGCACCATGCTGAGGTGGTAGCGGAAGAAGTGAAGAACCTGTTGGAAGCTGGGGCCATAGAAGAAGTGCAATACCCTCGATGGATATCCAACACGGTGGTAGTTCCAAAGAAGAACGGCAAGTGGCGGGTCTACGTTGACTACAAGACTGTCAATCGTGCGTGCCCAAAGGATAGCTTTCCCCTCCCTCGAATTGACCAGCTGGTGGACTTAACCACTGGCCATCAGAGGTTTAGCTTCCTGGACGCGTATCGTGGCTACCACCAGATAGCCATGTATAAACCGGACCGAGAGATCACATCGTTCACCACTTTCAAAGGCATGTATTGCTATAAAGTCATGCCGTTCGGGCTGAAAAACGCCGGAGCAACTTTTCAACGGATGGTGATAAAGATGTTCGCCCCAATGCTGGGCCGCACCATAGAGGCCTACATCGACGATATGGTGGTGAAAAGTAAGGAGAAAGCTCAGCACCTCTCCGACCTAGCAGAGATGTTTGCTATACTTAAACGCCACAAGCTTCGTTTGAATGCTTCCAAATGTGTCTTCGGAGTCGGCACCGGGAAGTTTTTGGGTTTTCTGGTCACAAATCGAGGGATTAAAGCTGACCTATCACAGATCAAGGCTTTACAAGACCTGGAGCGTCCTAACTCCACAAAGGACATGCAACATCTTGCCGGGATGGCAGCCGCGTTGAACAGATTTATCGGCCGGTCTTCGGATCGTTACAGGCCCTTCATTAAAACTTTGAAGTCCAAGTTCTTTTGGGATGACGAGTGCGACCGCGCACTAGCAGACCGGAAAGCATATCTCTCCTCAGCCCCTATTTTGGTCACACCTCAGCCGGGCGAAGAGTTGTACCTCTACTTGCCTGTCTCTCAACACGCGATCAGCGCAGTATTGGTCCGTGCTGAAGGCATCCAGCACCTACCGATCTTCTATGTAAGCAAGACTCTACTCCCAGCCGAAACGAGATATCTTCCCTTGGAAAAATTGGCACTGGCCCTAATGATGGAGTTAAGAAAGTTGGCACACTATTTTCATGCCCATACAATAGTTGTGTTAACCGAGTTCCCGCTCAAGGTGCTTTTTGAAAAGGCAGACTTCACTAGGAGAATTTTGAAATGGGCCGTGGAATTAGGACAATATGACATCAAGTTCCGACCGCGCACCGCAATCAAGGCTCAAGCACTCGCTGACTTTGTGGCGGAATTTGCCCCTGGGATGCATCCAGTATGCCCGATTGATTTGGTTAGTGCGGATTTAGCACAACCCATGGTTCTGGCAACAGAAACAAGTGTTAGTTCGCAAGTAGGAAAAGGGATGAGCACGACCGAACTAACAAAGTCCGGCGATGATGAACCCAACCAAGACAAGGAAAGGGACCAGAATGAACCGATCAGAGACTTGGAATTGAGAAGCTCCCAGAACCCCTCTGATTGCTGGAAGCTGTTTATTGGCGAGATGTGGAAGCTCTTCGTTGATGGGGCATCCAACAGACATGGGGCCGGGCTGGGCATCGTGCTGAACTCACTGAACGGGCTGATCATCAAGCAGGCAATTACACTCGGCTTCCCAGCATCCAACAACGAGGCTGAGTATGAAGCTCTCCTTGCCAAACTAAGAAGCGCTCTAAGAATGAAAGCCACAGCCGTTATGGTATTCAGTGATTCCAAGTTGGTGGTCAATCAGGTCTCAGGGGAGTATGAGGCAAAGGACGAAAGAATGGCCAAGTATCAGGCGCTGGTACGCGCAGAGAGCAAGAAGTTCGCTGCAATAAGGATGGAACAAATCGACCGCGAGGAAAACAACGCGGCTGATGAATTGGCCGGACTTGCTTCTGCTCAGACAGCTTTTCCTAACCCCTTGATGATAGAATTTTTACCCTGGCCAAGCATTGAGGAACCAGAATTAGCCGAGGTACTCTACACCGATTTGGGTCCTTCCTGGATGGATCCCATCGTCGCCTTCCTGAGAGATAGAGTCTTGCCGGAAGAAAAGAAGACGGCCAACAAGGTCCGAGCCAAGTCAGAGCGGTTTTGGCTCTCCCCTTCCGGAGCCTTGTACAAGAAGTTTTTCGCCGGGCCGTACCTGAAGTGTGTTCACCCCTCTAAGGTGGAGGCCTTCCTCTATAAGATCCATGAAGGCATCTGCGGCAACCATACTGGGGGCAGATCTTTGGCCTACCGAGCGATTTCTCAGGGCTACTGGTGGCCATGCATGCAGGCGAACGCACAGAAGTACGTTCGCCGGTGTGAAAAATGTCAGAAGTTCGCTCATCAGATCCATCAGCCAGCAAGAGAGCTGCTCCCCCTTTCCAGTCCTTGGCCGTTCGCACTCTGGGGATTGGACATAGTAGGGCCACTCCCAGCGACCCCGGACAATCGCAAGTTCTTTATCGCCGCCACTGACTACTTCACGAAATGGGTTGAGGTCGAGCCATTGGCGACCATAAAGGAAAAGGAACGCGCAGAAGTACGTTCGCCGGTGTGAAAAATGTCAGAAGTTCGCTCATCAGATCCATCAGCCAGCAAGAGAGCTGCTCCCCCTTACCAGTCCTTGGCCGTTCGCACTCTGGGGATTGGACATAGTAGGGCCACTCCCAGCGGCCCCGGACAATCGCAAGTTCTTTATCGCCGCCACTGACTACTTCACGAAATGGGTTGAGGTCGAGCCATTGGCGACCATAAAGGAAAAGGATGTGAAGAAGTTTGTATGGCAAAATGTCATCACCCGTTTTGGTATACCCAAGGCCCTCATCTCGGATAACAGCACTCAGTTCGATGGAAAACTCTTTCGCGGATTTTGCGAAGAGTTGAAGATCGAGTTTTACAATTCAACGCCGGCCTATCCTTAGTCAAATGGTCAAGCAGAAGCCTCAAACAAGACCATTCTGGACGGGCTGAAGAAGCGGCTTGAGAAGGCCAAGGGCAAGTGGGCTGAAGAACTCCCTAATGTGCTATGGGCATACCGCACTACGCCATGGCGGTCGACCAGGGAAACACCATTTGCTTTGGTCTATGGCATGGAGGCCGTCATCCCATTGGAAATTGGCATGCTGTAGACGCGCCCGCGTGGGCCTCGCTGCTACAGTTCGGATTAATCTTGAACCAAAGAGTCCAAATCTAGCAAATCGTTTTGAGAAACAGATTTTTTTGAAAAGAAGTGCCAAACATGGACTGCTTTGCCAGATACAGAGTCGCACCTAAATATTTTAAAATGGGATAATTTAGAAACCCTTGACTCGTTGCCGAAGGCCCACATTGTCCGTATCACGGAGTTGTCTCGGCTCGGAGCTTAGTTTACGATCGGGGAAGGTCAGCTATGAGCACCCCCTTGTCGCCCGGTCCGACGACGCTCTACTAACGTGATATTGTTTTGAAAACTTTACGTGTCTATATTCGATCTATCAGCCTAGAATTACTATGTTATGCGCACAGCAAACAAGTATAGACTAGATTGCCTAATTTGGAAATAAAACATTGCATATCCGTTCGGTTGAAAAATGCTTTGGAATTGCTACTCGCAAGTAGTGCTAAAAATGCGGATTTCAACGAGTCTTTCCAACTCAAACAATCCAACCTTCACCCAAGCATTCAAAAACATATATCACATAACAGCTAGCCTCATGGTAGCATACTGTGCATAAGTTAACATTCACACACATGCGAGTGCTTAAAGCAATAAGACGTACATCGTATACTCCATGCAAAACGAGTTAAACTAGTTAGCAAAACATTGCCGTGTCCTACGTTCATTGCTAAATTGTCTAATGCAACACATACAGGATGCAATTAGATGGCTCGGCTAATCTTAAACATGGCATGTGAAATGCCAATCAACTATCACATAGTCAATTTTGGAATTGAAGTACAAATTGCAAGGTTTAGCGTGATTACGAGCCCAATGCATTTGCAATTACAAATGCACGATGCACACATGCATAGCAAAGATATGCTAAAATAAATGTGCCCTAAATCTCATCATAAGCAAGGTAAATAAAAAGGGAGAAAAGAAGTGGGGGTTGGAAGACATACACACACTCACGCACACTTATTACAATTTGACCTCGCTCGGAGGGACCAATAGAATATTACAATTAATTTAACTACGCAAAGCTATTAATATTACAAATTAATTATTAATTAAAATAATTAACTAATCTAGGAAAACAGGTAAACCGCCACTCGGGAAATGCGCCGCCATGCATAGGCTGCCTCTGTTTTCTTTCCTCTGCTCCTCTGAGGCTTACCCATAACTTCAGGACTGCTTCCTTGGACATAGGAGTCCACCGGCGGAGTAAGAATTGCCACGGCAGTTGTGGTGTAGCACCGGCACAAATGAATTCCATCGGCTGCTTGTTTTACGCCGCGTCGGCAATATAATTACTGACCGGTCGGCAAGAATGTCTGCAGAACCTGCAATTGACAGCAAAACAAGAGTGCAAAGCAAAGGCATGCAGCACAATTCAAGGCATGTATGCACCATTTTCAGTCCCTATCATTGGGATGACTTCAAATGGGCAGTGCCTCGATTTCCTTCGGACACATCGCGATTTTCCATGCATTGAGGCCCAAGGACATCAAGTTATTTCAACCTCTGTCAAATTGAAATGCAAACCAACTGTAATTTGCTTGTGTTGTTTAGCTTTTCTAGACCTTTAGCCTTTTGGCACTTGATGTAAAAGATAGCAATGCTTTTGTAATGAAAAATAGCCCTCTTGTTGTTTGGTATTACATCTTTGTACAATGACATCGCAAGGATGCAAGGCAATTATGGATGCCTGGGGCAAGGAGACTGACCTGAATGGGACCGGACTGATTTCCACTCGCCGGAATGGAAGCAGACCGCACAAACAGTTGGCGCATTTTCCAACGATATAATTGGCGTATGGACCAATTTGCATTAGGGTCGAGCTGGTTTTGCTCGCAAGGTTGAAATGTTGGCGTCATGACCAACTTAACTGAAACATTGGTGTTTTGCCCAATGTAAGGGCTGAGCTGATTTTGCTCGGCCCAGTTAGCATATTGGTGTCTTGTCCAATATGGAAAACGAGTGGAGTTTGCTCGGCAGAATTCACAATGTTGGAGTTTTGTCCAACCGATAAAAAGCCGAGCTGACTTTGCTCGGTGGAAAAGAAATGTTAGCGGCTTACCCAACTTAAAAGGCGAGCTGAATTTTGCTCGGTCACGTTGAAGTATTGGAATTCTACAAAGTCTGCAAACCAATCAAGGCCGATCAGATTTTGCTCGGCCGAGTTAAAATGTCAGTTCATCTGAAAGTTCAAGGAGCCGAACTGCTAATTCTGATTAGAAAACGTTTAAGGTGATTTTAGCTCGGCAAATTGTGCGGCATAGCAGACCTGGCAGTTGTGAATTGTCAACGATTGAATCAAGGAATCCATGCAGACGCCAACCGAACAGAAATAGAAGATGTACGAGCAAGAAGTTCAAAAGTTTCATTGATAAGGGAAAATTCAGTACAAGAGGGGGGACATAGCCCGGTTACATTCCAAAACAAAGAAAATAGAGAAAGGCAGAGTTCAATCCAATTCTAGTTCAGCTGTCTGTTCAGCGACTTGCACAGTTTGCTCGGCCTCCTCCACATTGCGCTCGGGCAGGTTTTCTTCGGCCTCATCGTCAGCACCTTCCACCGTGACAACCTCCCAGTCAATAACTTCTTCATCGTCGGCATCTTGGGATGCTGTAGGAGAAGTTTGCTCGGTTTGATGTACGGCGGCGGCTTCTTCCTCGGCCTCTTTCCGTGCCTCTGCGATAAGCCGGTTTTGAGTGGCCTGGGAGTACGCCAACATGTAGACCGGGATATAGGCCGTAGGTGGATTTATGAACATGTCAGAATCCTGTCCAAGGCCAACTTTCTCCACGGCAGCTTTCCAGCCGCACTGGAAAAAGATGTCCTTGGTCGCTTGGACCTGCCGCTCATAAGTTTTCTCTCCCTGAGCGTATCCCCGGTCCTCAGCGTCATCCACGGCTTTGTCCTTTTCTTCTTTGTGGGCATCACGCAGCTTGCGCAGCTTGGCGAGGTACCGGGCCTTATTTGACTTCACGGCCCTTTGTTTGTCCGCCTTAGCTCGGTCAACCTTCAGGCGCAGTTCATCTAGCTCGGCCGCAACTACATCTTGTGCGGCCTTGAGTTTCTCTATCTCGGCCTTTTGAACCTTGTTTTCGGCAATGGCATCCCGAAGGCTCTGCCCCACTTTGATCATTCGGTCGTGGGCCAAATAGTTCTTTTGCGCGGCCTGAAAACAAGCGAGAGATCGTGAGTATTCGAGAAACCGAGCAAAAACCGAGCAAACAGTTTAAAGCAAAGAATGGAGAACTTACCAGCACTATGGATTTTGCCGCCGAGCGGCGGACCTTGAGGTCGGAAAGCTCGTCGTGTTTTTTCATATCAGCGGGCAAGATCAACCCCTCGGTCAAATTGAAACCAAGCGAGTAGTCCTTGTCCGCGTAGACAGAGTCTTCAGCAGAAATTGCTCGGCCCTGGTATTTGAACTCGGGCGCCCAGACCGGGGGGGGTAGCTGGGCCCTTGGATTTGCCGGTCTGTGGTTGCTCAATCTGGTCCCCGAGCTCGGTGGAGACGCGATCGGTAGAGTCTTCATCTGCCAGACGCGGCCCGGTTTGCTCCTTCCTCGGCCGCTTTTTGGACCGACCAGCCGGTTACTCGCTGGCAAGTGCCAGTACTGCCCCTTCTTGTTGCCCGGCGGGTGTGGAGGATGTCCCCCCGGTTGCCTCTGGTTTTTGGGACTCGCCTTCTTCCCCGGTGATCATGAACTTGATGGCCTTGATTTTCGCCATTTCTTGCTCGGCGATGAGTGGAACAAGCCTGATCGGTGGTAGGTTTGGATCTGGTTCTGGGGTTGGCGCACACAGAAAGTCGGTAACCCGGCTCTTACGTGGTGTGATGTAGTGGTAGGTCTGTTCGAAGTCGATCAGTTTCGAAGCCTTCCTCTCCTCGGCAGGATGGCACGGCAGGGCTCTGATGGCCTCTTGGTTGGCCTGGTGGTAGTCTGCTGCTAGGTGCTTATCTGCAAAAAGAAGACAAGTGTTAGATCGGCATGGAAAGTAATTGATGCATAAAGAAAATAGCGCGATCAGCCGAGCGACTCACCGGCACTGCCAAAATCCTTTCTAATGTACCATCCCGGTATGGGTGTCTCGGTGTCCTCATAGCGACCGGACACCCACAAGAAGTCGTCGTCGTTGGTCTCCTTGTCCGGGTTGCCCTTTATTAGCTTTGCTCGGCCCTTCTTGACTTTGAGGTACCAGCAAAGCCCACTCTTATTTCTACTTAGACTATACTGATGGAAAATTTCGGCCAGACCGAGATTGAGACCGAGCCTCCGGTTCAGCTCGGCGACCCCGTTTATTATTTTGTAAGTGTTATTTGAAACTTGGGTCGAGCAAAGCCTTGTCTGCCTCAAAAATTCGCAGATCAAGGGTCGAACCGGGAAGCGGTGCCCTCCCTCTAC